ATTATGATGTAGGTGATAAGGACAATCCTATTGTAGCTATAAAATTTTTGAAACCGTCGCACGTTTGATTTGTTTTGGCAGACCTATCATCCACTGTAAGATAGGGCTAAACAAAGTTACATTCTAGCTTTCCTATATTGTCAGAACTTATTATCCATTCAGCACATATTGTTAGTCTGAACAAAAAGTATTTTATGAACCCCATGAGGGGAGACAGGGCACCTGTGTTGGACAACACCTGTGGAATATATTACGAGCCCCTGTTGCCTGTACTTGAAAAAAATTCCACATTTTTAGGGTAATGCAGAACATTGAAACGTGAACGAGCTTTGTAAAGCAAAAAATAATTTGTAACTTTGTAACAAGAAATAATAATTATTATTACGAACATAATCACGTCTTAATAAAGATAACATTTATAACTTTTATTTATAGATAAGTAGATTTTTTATTGTTATAAGATGACAAATAAATGATAACCAGTAATATGAATTATAGATCCTTTTTGTTTTGTGTCGACCTATCTTGACTTGTCTATTTGAAATCAAGACGAGATTACACTCGATGGCTTTTTCACCTGTGGACGCTGGTGAACCGGGCCAATTTCAATATTTAATAAAGCTCAGATAATAGCAAGGAAGATTAACTTTTATTTAATAAATTAAACAAAAGTTAATATTCCTTGCTATTATCTTTCTAATGCAGCTGGCTCAAGGCTGGTTGTATTTAGGTAAGCATAAGTAATTAATATATAAGCCGAAACAGATTGACAAATTCTTAACAGTTACATCAACTAGTGTGTTACATTACTAGTAATACAATGCCCTATTTTATTTTTTTCATTTTCTTATGAGAAAAGAGTCAATTCAAATTTAGCGAAGCGAAAATATAGTAGATATAAATGCAAATCAGTGTTAATTCGATGAATTGTTGCCACGCTTTGCATAGCGGTTAGTTAACTGGCAACACTGGTCATATTTCAATGGGTTTTATTGCTTGGAAAATGTTTTACCAGGATTTAGGGTAACTCATGACTTACTTAAGGGTTATTCTCTGTATAATATGTAAAAACTGATTAAAAGCAAGTAGATTTGCATTCTTGCAAATGGTTTTTAAGTTAAACCCACGATGGCTTATTTAATAATGCACGGGCGATTCTTTCGTATTAGAATTTAATAAATTTGGATCTGGTTAGACATAATTTAATTCTGTATAAAGTAGTTTAACTGCTAAGACTAAGATTAAATGCTAAAACCCGGGTAAACATTTAACATAGTTATATTTTTCAAATGGGAGTATATTTACACAAAAGTGTTCGTTTTAAAGATAAGTTTAATAGTAGGTATTGTCTGTAGTTAACGCAAGTAGTACACATGTAAATAAAACACTTTTAACGGTTTAAAACGCGAAATATGTTAGGTCACCTTTTTTAAATTTATTTAAATTTTTCCTCGTATCATTTCTGTCGGGGTCATAACATAATCTGTATAAAATAATACTATCTATAGTCAGGATATATGTACCTACTTGGAATCTCCGTCCTAAGTTGTACAATACCAAAAAGGTACAGCACAAAACCTTAATCGATTACTGACCGATTGAAAAAAATCGTCCGCTTTTAGAATCGAATCGTCCACAAAAAATATTTTGTGATATCTGTGACCGTCGAAGCGTCCTTTTCCACTTCAATTGTACTTTAAAGCGTGACTTACCTTTACTTGTTATATTTTTAATCTTGAGACCACACAGCTCTTGAGAATGATACTAATCCCAAAAATTTTCTAATATGAAAACTTTAGTCTGTCTAAAAATCAATCTATAATTCATAACGTTTTTATTTATGAGACTTTATAATGTCTACCTCCTTGGTAAAGATTTAAAAAATCGACTTATTGTGTTTCCAGCTAGGATGCATTCTGCTGCCCAATTGCTGTTTTACTCATAACGAAAGATTTCACTTAGATCTTTGATAAATGTGTAAGTTAAAAGAAAATAACTAAGTTAAGTGTGAACTTCAGGTAATATTTTAATGGATGGAATTAGCTTTTAATTTTGAGTGAAGTGACTGTAACAATAGATAGAAAAATATACATACATAATATAATCGACACAAATATAGGAGATGATGCACCTTTTCTTAAAATTATATAGGTTGTTAAATGTATATATATAAGATTTACATTCGTTATAAATCTATGTTTCTCTTCAAATATCTAGTTTTAATACACTAGTCAATATTAAATAGATAGATTATGTACTTTTGAATGTTTCTTATATGACGTTTTGTTAAGGAAAAAATAATGTCTGTAAACAATATAACAATTTGTTAAATCTATAAGAGATTTTGGATTTTTCAATTAGAAATCTGGAATGAAGACATATTGAATTAATCTTAATAGAATCTACTAAAAAATCAATTGGTACTTTTTACGTAAATTAAGAATATTACATGCATGGGATTTGAACCAGCATCCACAGCGTTCATTGCTGTTCTAACTTCACAACCATTTGAGCGAACGTGTAATAGTTACTTCTATAAATTAACATCTTTCTCATCGCGAGAGGTTGCGAGTTAGAATCCCAGGGTAACGACATTTTTTTTAATAAGACACAGAAGCCAGTAGAACAGGCTCAAAAATGTGTCCGCCGCTGTTTCAGCGGAATTAACTACCACGGATTATTTTTTAAGCTCTCAGATGTTTAGTTGGTTTTAATAAAAGTTTAATACTAAGATATAATCCGCTTAAACTAAACTTGAACCAATTCGCTTCGTGACGCAATGATTCAGGGCAAGTTTAAATATCTTGTTTCGAGTTCAACTAGTTTAATATCTTATCCCTGCTTGTTTAGTCCTTGTAAATTTCTCCATACCTACCCAATTTGATTAGTAAAGAACTTAATTGTTTCTTTTTTCTTTAGAAATTTCATCTTAATTTACGCGAATATAAATAAAATAAAACACCTCAAACGGTTTAAAATAAAAAGTGTATTAGTGAAACGTATAATTTTCGCGTTTTACCTGTTAAAAGAGTTTTATTTGAATATTAGAGTGTTGTAAAATTTTGATTATTTTTTAACTATAAAAATGCGTCTACCTTCAAGTACGTCTCGTTAACGTGGTTAGAGAATATTTACTAATATTTTAAGCTCTGCTTTGAGTATTTGTAAAAGTTAGAAGATTTTGTTTAATGAATTAGTTTAATAGTTGAAATACTTTACACGATACCTGATTTAAAGAAGCTTTCATTGGTTGCGGTCCGAAGCTCGAGGTCCGAAGCGAAAAAAAAAAAGAATATTTCTAATTTTTGGCTTTAAGTCACCAAACTTTTCGGTATAACGTGTATTTAGTTACTACGCTTTTTTATGATTAAAAACGTACACAGAACTCCTTCGATCGGCGTAGTTAATAAGTTAAAGCGTTGAATATTGAATCCTTATACTTTTGCAAAGGCTACACAATGAATCACTGGAAACAAAAGTGAACATGTTACAACAAGTCCCGTAGGCTGTAGCTGTAAACAGAGCTATTTTTGAGTTGATTGACGAGCCGGCTGACACTGTTTATGGCTGGTACAAGCTTATAATGCAACTCAAATATTTACACTTGTATATTTGGTATTTTAAAACTGCTTCTATTTTCGAATCGAATTTTATTTCTACTTGTAAAATTTCAATTGAATTATTCCTTTGAAATACTCGTGTTCTTGCTTAAAAATTTCGGCGGAAGTTTTTAAAACTTCCAAGATATCTAGCTTGTTTGTCTTTCACTGTAATCATGATATTTTTTAAATTTGGTGAATTATTCCAAACATACTTTTTTTTATTTTTGCTTAAATTTTTTCTGTCATCTTAATTACTGTAAGAGATAATATGCAATAAACAAGAAAGGCATAATTTTAATTTAATTAATAAGAAATTAATTTTATTTCTTGTGTCTGTATTTTTATTTAAATTTTTCAAAAGTTTTCAAGCAGGCGGGAACCATGAGTGAAAATTAAAGATTTTTTACAAAATGATAGATTTATTTCACAATAACCCTCATTCGGATTAGTTCCTTAACACAAACCAGTTATTATAATGATTACATGCGGCTTATCTATGCTGATACTCGTCAAATTATAAATGTATTGAAAAAGGCTTACAATTACATAAATCACAAAAGTTAAATGCAATATTTACAATTGAGAACTCATCTAAATAATTATTTATACATTTTTTTGTTTAATTTTATTTTTGTCGAAACAGAACATAATTCATTAAAATATTATTTTAACAAAAATATTCGGTATTTACAGTGGTTCAACAATTCTCTTATGATTAGAATACAATAGATTTTGAATTAAAATTTGCCAAGGCGTAGGTAATTCGCTAATATTTGGCGTGAGTCAAAAATATTAGTTACCTAAGAATAATTCATGACTATCGGATATTTGGAACTAAACTAAAATTTGAGATCCTCAAGAAAATATTCAAAGTACTGTAATTAAATACTAGATGCCACGAAAAAATAATCACTATTACAATAAATTAAACTATTCGCACTAAGCTATTTAAAATTGTTTAAACAAAATAGGAGATCAAATGGAAATTTAACTAAACGTTTAAACTTAACAGACCTAAATTAAGATGTCTACGCACAAAAAAAGTTTGGAGTAAAAAGTAAAATTTCTACGGCAGTGAAAACCAATATGGGAATTGTGAACACATTAATCGTAACAATAATAGGTATCAATGTTACATAAAATGCAGATAACGTCGTGGAGGCGTTTTGTCGAACTTCACTCAAAATTTCAAAGCAAAATTCACGAGAAGCAAAAGTGTTAATTGCGCAATCAAAGAGGACGCACAACGATGTGCATCCTCGACCACCGTTTACAATTTAAGTGCAGTTTGACACAACATCTCTTGGGCTTACAAAATCAACTGGACTTAAAAATACGTAACAACAGTCCAAATCTGCTTTGCAGTATCACTTTTAACAATACTTATCTAGATCTTCTTTATCTCACAGTATTGAAGAGAGATGACGCCAGGGACACTTTAAGGATGGCTACAACCATCACCAAGTTCACGATGTAGGTCGAATTGCATCTTAAGTGGTAAGGTGGTGTGTTAGGCTCGCGAGGACACTCACCTCGGCGATTGTCCTGCACTTCTTGGCCAGGATGTCGCGACACCAAGATGTGGCATAGCACCTCGTACAGCTCGGCTAGGAGCCGGTTCAACCGTGAAAAGTTCTCCTCGGTCGCTTCTCTCTCGCTCGGCAAGTTGAATGCTATTGCCATCTTTGTCTCTCGCAACGCCTTTTTCTACGGAAGAAGCGTGGACAGATTGCGGTTTGTTTTGTATACATAAATGCTGTGCGCGTTTTGATCACGTCGCGCCCGTTTTGTTATCGCCCTCTCCGTAAAACTCTTCAAAATCTCTCTCAGTTCTTAATATTTTTATCAGTTCTAAAGAGTTCAATTTGTCAGAGCCGATATCAAAAAACACAGTTCACTTTGACACGGTCACAGTACAGCAGAGATAACGATCTCGAGTTCACAGATACACAAAAAGTTTTAGCGAAAACTCCGCAGCGAGCATCGTCAGTGAATCACTCGCAACTGAGCGATAAACGCTGGGCCGATGACACAATCGCGCTAACAAACGCACTATGCATCGCTCTGGCTTTTCGTAAACAAACTGAAACTTCGCACCGCTCCACAAAGAGGTCAGACGTCTGATGCTCGTGCGGCCGGCGCGGAAGCGGATCGTGTAATAAGGGATAATACTTCGTGCACATCATTGCCTCGTTCGAGGCGCGCGTGTGTGCGTGGTGCATAACGTGGCCACGCGCGCACACAACTGCACCTATTCGATTATAAATAGTTGAACGCACGGTAGCACGTTACCTTCGCACTCTACCACTACAATCAACCGTGACACCGTTAGCGCTGTCCTTCTCGCTCGCGATACAAAAAAATCTTCCCTCTCGTTTCGAGTCGATTACATCAGTCTCTGAGCTGTGTCGATGGGTGCAGGCTTTCTCGGTCTCATTTAGGGGTACGATCCCTTTGCGAGAGGGATAGTATGATGTCGCGAGGGTTTGTTTCGGGGACAGAAAGCGCGGCAAAGTTCGTCCAATAGGGGACGAGAATCGTATGGGGTGAGGTGACGTAAGGACGCTAATATCGAGAGCACGGGGTTGACGGCTGTGGAGCGTTCACTTGGCTGTGAGCTTTCGTCTACTCGTTGCCGCGATGTCCATAATTTAACGACTCTTTGTTCACACGTTAATCTCATTTTAATGCGAGTTTAGGATCGGGCCATCCGTACCCGCAATAGAATTTACGCGTGTGCCTCGTTTGTAATTCGGTTTAGTATGGTAACAGTTTTACGTCCGCGGTTTTGCCATAAGTTTGTGCAATCGAAGGTGCTTTTTAGGTTTATTGGTATTTAGAGGCGAGTGAGAACCTTTGTTTAGACGCGATGGGTAATAAAATGATAGCTTTAAAAATCGTTGCGTTAACTTAGTAACATTACGAAACTGTGGTATTTTTGTGTTCGTTGAGGTACCGTATATTAATAAGTAAGTAGTTATGGGAAAAGTGTGTAGGATATTAGGATCGTTTGTAGAGTAAAATGTAGAGTCTCTTCTTGTACTCTAATTACCTATATTATTTAAAACATTTTAAAATACTTAAGTAGAACTAGTTGCGTGTTGTAAAAATATAGAATCAGTAGATCAAATCGTCATCGATACAAAGGCACAAAGTTTACGAATAAACTATTAGTATTCCTTTTTCAGTCGGTTGAAATTATTAAGACAACCAATGTGAAATTTCTTTGCAGTATAAAAAGCTCACAGCGATTGTAATGGATGTTTTTTTTTCAGGTTTAAAAGAGGTAAGATATGTTTACAACATTACTATATCCAAAATACACACATAACTTACATAAAACAAGAATTGGTGACAACAATATTTATTAAAATTCTTACACTGAATCCATGATCACAGAAGAAGGCTTTCATTTCACATATTTATAATACCAATTTTAGTCACATAAACTCACTGAACCCGATCACAACGAACACTAAGATTTTTTAAAGAGCTACCTACAATAAAAAAAAAACTTTTTTACCTACATATTCAAAGTTTAAAGTGGGGATGTCCTCTTGATGACTAAGTAAGAAAGAAACATCATTATAAAGTTGCATCATCTGTATGAAGCAAGTTTAAAGTGTGTCAGCCACACCAAACCTATATTTATGTTGTATGTATACAAAATAGTGGCTACTAAAAAGGTGAAATGGAGACGAATCCTAAATAAAAATTTGTTTCGTTTGGACATGACTCAGACTATTGAAATAGCTGTCAGAATATAAAATCAATTGATTTTCACAAAATGCTTTATTTAAACACTGACTTTGATTATGTTTATTCTAGTGACACTAAGAATAAATTTTACATTTAAATCAATTATATTAAAAAATTCTTGTGTAATCCTTTAAGTATTTTAAATATATATATATTTTTATTTATAGAGAAAATTATTAGAAGATATTTTATTTATTTACTGTATTAATTTTAAACACGAAGTGTTTACATGAATTTAACATATTGTGTACGCTGCAATAAATTATTATTATCTGCTATATGATAATTAAAATACTAAAAAGCAATGACTAGAAAGTAACTAAAGTATAACATATTTTAAACTTTTTATATCATTTATATTTACTTTGCTGCTATATGAAATTTAAAAAAATATAACACGCTATTTACTTGGTAAACACGAAATGTGGGACAGAATAACAATGTGATTAACTTTCTCCATTTAGTAGAAAAATTTTTTTATGTTAGTAATTGAGAACTAACCGTTTAGAGTTACTAATTGCAATTGTAAAGTTTTCGTAAACGCACGTTAACTCTCATGTTACTTGGAAAATGTCAAGAGATGGCGTTACTAGTAAAATGAGTTAAGAATTTAATTACACACACACCAAGGCGTCTAAGGTAAGTGTAACTAACACTAATAATATTTAAAAGTACCAGACTTATCTTCTACATGACAACATTATTACTTACGCTACGGATTTTCAAATATCAATAATAAAAGAAATTATGGGTTTTTAATTTTTGCTCTATGTTACAAATTTATAAACATTTCCTCCAAAACGCCAGGTATGTTTTTTGTCTTTTTAATAACTGAAAGCTTAATAATTGTTCGAATTTTTCAATTATAATACAGTCAACCAAGAATGCTTAGCATAAAAATATTATCGCACTAGATAAGTTCTTATTTTTTAAATAACGGAGCTACTTTTCGCAGTTTTATAGCACGTCCATATTGAGACTCCGTAATAATATAGATCTTGAAGTTACAAAAAGTAAAAAAACTCAACCGAAGCTGAAGGGCCGAGCTTCGTTTAAGCTATAATCCAGCGTGTCAGCTACCGCTTGATTTCACGCCGCAGAATGAACCTGATTGCCCTTTGTGTCTTGGACGTAGTCTAAATCATAAGAATGAGCGATTTTTTAAGCATTACAACAAAGTCCCTCGGCAAAGGTCAAGAAATTAGAGAGAATATAGAACTACGACCTACCTAAGCTTTTCCAATAGCGACTTGGTGAGTTTTAGGTATTATCAACAACAAGATTAGGAATCATAACCAAAATGATGTTTTTTGAACATATTCTTATAAAGATTTGTACACAATGACAGTTTTATGATTTCATTTAACTGTTTTTGGATTATTGATAATTGTTGAAAACGCCTGATACCATTCATATTATTTTAAAATTTTGGTATTTTAAAATCATCCAAATATATTAATCAATGGAGATCTCTCTCCTTTCTCCTTTACTTTGTTCCAAGCAAAATACTGGTCTGCCACGAGTTCGATTCCTCTTGTATAGATAAGATTTCTCGGTAGTCACTTTATGAACTGTTATTTCGATACAGATAATGCAAGGTACTATCTCATTATTGAGTACTACAATATATTGATCTAGCAGCAACGATAATCGAAGAGATAGCAAAGAAATAGAAGGTATACCAAAAAATTTATACATTTTTTCATCAAACATGTTTAACGGTTTAAATCACAAAATATATGAATAAAACTTAGGTTCGGTTTCCTTAATTATGTACAACTCCGGTAAACTAGAGATAATACTAAATTTTATATTGTAAAAATATAATTCCAAGATTTTTTTTTCCTTAAAGAAACATAAAATTTTCCACCTTCACCTTAATTATAAACGGTGTTTAAATAATAGATACTTACGAGTGGATGAGATATTATATCAAACCAGTCTTAAAGTTGATGTTACACTGCTTCAGTACGTCGATTTGAATGCAGTAAAGTTATAAAATAAAAAAAGAATTATGTCAACATTATCACTTACTTAAGTATTTTTTTTATTAAGATTATTATATAAGATTTAATTAAGTAGTGACTAGTGATAGATAAAAACAATCGACCGAAATAAGACATCAAAACAATTTCAATACAAAATCAACTAATTAAGGCTTTCATGGGAGGTGTCAATGTAACGTAATAAATTTACGAGCCTTCCATTACACTTGCATTACAAAATGGTGGATTGCATGCAAATGAAGTTTTCGTGTTATTAAAATAACATGTAAATTGTAAACGGATTACGGGCGTGTTGATTTATCGCTGGAAGCGTATTATAATGTATATTTGTGGAATAGTTGTTAATACCTAATATACGACCAATATAAGTATACGTGTAGAAGCTAGAGTTATGAAATACATATATATGTCTACCAGGCTTCTCTAAAGGACTCGCTTTGGGTCGTAACAGCGACAAGTGAGATACAGTTAAATATAAGTATATGTAAAGGTACGTAAAAGGTACATCTCGAAAAAAAATCCAAAGTTATCGATTTCTGCTGCTTCAAAACGTAATTTCTTATTTTCATTTCTGTATTATAGTTACGATAAATAATGATAAGATTGTTTATCTTGTATTTAATAGACTCTAATATAAGATGAATGAATGATTAGACGTGTTAAATACTAGTGTTCCTAGGATTGAAGAAAAACCTAAGAGTTGCCGTCTACACGACACCGATCAAATTCTTGGAAATATAAATCGAATAGTAAAATAGACACGAAACTGTATCTGCCATGCATTTAGGATTTTTTTTAAACAAACTTTAAGTACAGAAAATATATGAATAAGTATTCTGTTTAAATGACTCACTTGAACGGTTTAACCCTTCGTCACGGGGAGACCCGGTCCCAGGTCTCCGCTGTTGCAAAGCATCCGAAACGTCGGATCGGAGTTAAAAATAATTTTCAAACAATTTTAATATATATATCGCGTTTCAAACCGTCAAAATGTTTTATTTAAATGTGTATAACTCGCGTAAACCACAGACAGTAAAGTATTCTGTGTGACTATGTCTGTATTTTAATTGGCTAAAAACTAAAATAAAACATAACTCTTTATCAATCCCATTGTGAAAATTTTGAATTTTATGATCCAGTTATTTACCCAATTAAAACCGTGTAGTGCGCGTCGGACAAATATTGTGCGTGCATTTTCACAACCTGTCAAAATGCAAATTCGCCGATATTCAACTATTTTACACGTGACGTATCGGATTAATAGATTGAGTGCGCCCAGTTATTTTAGGGACGAGTTAACATCGATCACTTTTGTAATTCATTAGTGTGCACTTGTATTCGGGCCGTTAGGTTTAGTGGTAATAATACCCAGAGTCGTGGGTTCGAATTCCGAAATGTTGTAATAAAAATGTAAACAAGCAAGTATTACAAATAAATAAAACTCCTTTAGCGGTTTATATTACGAATTATTTGAAGGACCGGAGTCCGCGTAGCGCACTTCGTGACCACGGCTACAGCCGAGCGTCCGAAGAAACGGGCCAATCGGTATTTAAAATTAATTAAATATAAATTTTACTAATACATTTCGCGTTTCAAACCGTCAACGTGTTTTGAGCAAACAATTTAATATGCAGACCGAATGCAGAAAAGTCAAATCAAGAAATAACCATCATTTACAACACTTCTAGGTATCATAATAGGCTCTCATCTCTTAGAGTCACAAATACAGTTTCCAGTTAAATGTAAATATTCCTGAGTTCAGGCATCAGGTGTCTACAGTGAATTACTGACACTCAAGTGCATTGGCGGTAAAATTAACAGCGCTCGGATGCATTCCCTCTTGATTGATTTACAGATGTGATATGAAGAGTTTATTTGTTTCTTTAAACGCGCTAATCTCAGCAACCACTGGTTCGAG